TTATGATGGGTCCTCTCCCAATGAAACTTGGTGCACTGACGTAATGTGAATGATGGCAAAGCGTCTGAGGTGATAGCTTAAGGCCACTAACGTTACTTTTTTATGAGCTTATGGCCAAAAATATATTGCACACCATGCATGTGAATGCAATAGAAAAGTAAACGAGACAAGTAAATTAACCATTGGAAAAGTGTGGAATACAGGGGACAAGACAGGGATGACCTAGTGAACGTGATGCAATGGATGATGGCTACATACTTTGCTCGCTTGCTCGTGTACAATTTCCTCCACACAAGCCCCACAAGCCCTATGTTGTCGCTACCTTTACTGTTTGTTTAGTGAAGTGCGAGGACAATGGTGAAAGGATTCTGTATGTAGATGGCCAAGAACGCAGCATTGTAAAACTGGTTAGTTGAGATAATGTAGAAGTCTTAGACTCCACACAATGCAGTCACAACTGAAAACTGAGTAGATGACCTGTCTAATGTGCTTATGAAATAAAGTCATAGCTGTGCATCATACAAAGGAGCACACTCGTACTTCGCGACAATATTATACAAGTGGAAAAATCATTTCTTCAAAATGAAAGTGGGATATAGGGATGACTTGAAGCACCAAAAAGGAAGAAACAAGGGGTCATTACACACCAAATATGCACAAAGCCACATGACACCATCCCTATATCTTTGTCTCATATTAAACTTTGCTTATGAACAATAAAACAAAGATATAGGGATGGTGTCATGTGGCTTTGTGCATATTTGGTGTGTAATGACCCCTTGTTTCTTCCTTTTTGGTGCTTCAAGTCATCCCTACATCCCACTTTCATTTTGAAGAAATGATTTTTCCACTTGTTTCCACTATTTTTAACAGCTTATGACAACACTCAGTCACTCTGATGTTCATGGCTATGTTGTAGAGATAACTGTTGAAAGCAGAAGCTAATGGACTGCTCTTACCTGAAGCAGGGTGTATGCGTAGTGTCTCCAACAAGGACGTATTAGGTTGTGGCACATATTATGGTGGTGGTTTCATTGGGCAGGCTTCAGAAATCAGACTACAATGATAGCTATAACCTGGGGAACAAAGAATGAAGGCGCTGGGCAAGGCACGCGTAACACGGCACAGATTGCCAAGTTGCTCCTCGTGCAAATCAACAGCAAAACACAAGCTAGCCAGTTACAAATGTGTACACTGACTTACAGAAGGCACCGGAGGATGAGAGTAGTTTTCTCTGCAGGCATCCAGTCCTGGCTTAGTCTCGTTCGTGGACCAGGTTTACGAGACAAAATGCGCGCGCACCGCATTGGGAAACGCCCTCCTCTGCGCATGCGGCTCACTGATGCTGAGTTAGCAGCAAATGGCGTTGTTCAGTGACTACCGAGGAAGAGCTCAACGATCTACCGTAGTGACTTGCGGCCAGAAACAAACGATCGCTTGATGTGCGTGCACACCTCCGGCAAATTCGGAGACGTTCTGTGAAAAAATCAACGCTTCAAGTGCTTCCGGTAAGGAGCTAGCGGGTCTGAAGAAGAAGATGAAGAATATGATGATGACACGAAAAACGTGAAATCACGTATGAGCGAATTCTCGCGTGGACGACTGAAGGTGCGTGTGAGGTCTTGGGGGACATATATAGGTAGATATGGGCCCGTATACTACTGCTAGCATGTTTTGAAGGCCTAGGGAGTGATTCTCACCGAGTTTTTAGTCGTTTTGTACGCGGATCACGTGAGATTTCACCCGTGTCGTCCCTATATAGAGAGTCTACCGACTCTCTGATAGGGCTTGTGTGGAGGAATTTTACACGAGCAAGCGACGTCAGTTCAAAGTATACAGCCATGATCCATTGTACTACTGCATCACGTTCACCAGGTCGTCTCTGTCTTGTCTCCTTGCTTCTTATGGCATCCCTATATTCAACCCTTTTTAAATTAATAATAGCGCCGTTGGAACCATTAGGTTGGCTCGCTAGGTTATAGAGACAAGTAAATAAATACAAGTAACTAGGAATGCGCACGCGCATATTTTGCCTCGCGCCTGCCAGCCAATGCAGTCCGACTGAGGCCGCTCGTGCACGTGCTCTACCGCACGGCGGAAGCTAGATTTCGTACAAATGACGGAAGTTACACTTCCTTTTGGTGACTAATTGACATTCCTAAGCGTGACTAATTGACGACGTACGTACGAATATCGCGAGAATACAACCCGGAGTAGTTGCCTCACGCTAACGCACTCGGCAATTAAAAATCCTGCAAAAAGAGGCATATAGGGATGGTATAAAAAGAAAGGGATCCCTATATTGTTCCTTTGTCTGCTACTCTTATAGGAAATTTGCCATTATATAAGGGCTAAAGGATCACCATGCATGTCCGTGTTGTTTTTATATAGTAACATTTCTACTTTTATACTGCCACATTTAAACTCCGCTTGGACTCCATAACAGTGTTGGTTACTACTTTTTTGTATTATAAGTTCTGAGTATTGTAATGGTGAGTGTTTAATACTTCACCTAGGCAACAATATAGGGATTGTGTGATGGGGTTGGGGGTGTCAGCGTGCTCAAGTCTGTTATTAACCACGCTTCATGTATCCCATCCCTATCTTGTCTCCCTTTCTTTTTATACCATCCCTATAATTGTGCCTCTTTTTTAAAATCGCAGGATTTTTATTTTACTTGTCTCCACTCATTTTTATATACTACTACGTAGAAAGGGGGCAAGCCCCCTATAAAAATTATAGAGAAAAATGCCTGTTGTCGTCATGGAAATGATGTAATACGCATGCGTACCAAGTTTCATCTCCATGTGTGCTGCCGTTAGCAAGTGTGAGGAGTGAAGAAGTAAATGCCTGAGGCTATTTGTAGTTGTTCAAATAATACGTGGTTGTCACGGAAACGATGTCATACGCATTCGTACCAATTTTCATCTCCATCAGTGCTGCCATTAACAAGCTTGAGGAGTGAAGACTGCCTGAAGCTATTTGGTGTTGTTCAAACAATATGTGGTCGTCATGAAAACATGAAGTTGTCATGGAAATGATGTAGTAAAATGCATGCATACCAAATTTCATCTCTATGCGTGCTACCATTAGCAAGTATGAGGATGGATTACGTGCATGCTCTCACGTGTAGTCATGACGTCATTGGGAGTCGGTAGTCGATAGCTAGGGATGACCGACGCGGGTGAAATCTCACGTGATCCGTCCGCGTACACGACTAAAAACTCGGTGAGAATCACTCCCTAGGCCTTCAAAACACACTAGCAATAGTCTATGGGCCCATATCTACCTATACATGTCTCCAAAGACCTCATACGCACCTTCAGTCGTCCACGCGGCTCATACGCGATTTCTCTTCTTTAGACCCGCTTTCTCCTTACTGGAACAAGTTGAAGCGATAATTTTTTCACTGAACGTCTCCAATTTCGCCCGAGGTGTGCCTGGACATCAAGCGATCGTTTCTTTCTGGCCGCTAGTCACTACGGTAGATCATGGAGGTCCTCCATGGTCGACACTGAACAACGCCATTTTCAGTATCAGTGAGCCGCGCGCATGCGCCTGGCAGGGGCGTTGTCCACATAAATGCGCTTGCGAGCGTATATACCAGGCGAGTTGGCAGACCTGCAGAGGAACTCTCAGCCTCCAGTACCTTCTGTAAGTAAGTGTGCACATTTGCAACTGGCTAGCTTGCTGTTGATTTGCACGAAGAGCAACTTGCCGCTTGTTTGTCCCCCCAAGGTTGTAGCCTGATTACCAAAGCCTGCCCATGAAACCACAACAATGTGCAATAATCTAATTACATCCGTGTTGAAGGAGGTGAATGTGGTATCTAGCCCCTGCTTCAGGCCCTAATAGCTACTACTACAGTAACAATTTGTAGCCTATCTACAACATACCCATGAACATCAGAGTGACGTCATAAGCTGTTAAAATGCAGTGTTGTCATAAGCCATTAAAAATAGTGGAAACAAGTGGAAAATTCATTTCTTCAAAATGAAGGGGGATATAGGGATAGCCAAAAAGGAAGCTAAGATGCACAAAGCTACATGACACCATCCCTATATCTTTGTTTTATTGTTCATAAGCAAAGTTTAATATGAGACAAAGATATAGGGATGGTGTCATGTAGCTTTGTGCATCTTTGCTGTGTAATGACCCCTTGTTTCTTCCATTTTGGTGCTTCTATATCCCCTTCATTTGGAAGAAATGACTTTACTATTAGGATACACTTGAAATTCTCAGGTATCAATTCCTGGATTCGCCCCTGTAAGTTCTCAGGCAAGGGTCGAATAAATTTCGCGCGCGACGCTGTAATTGTGCCAAAACAAAGCACTGTACTCTAGGCAAACTAAGCCTCCCCGAGGCACAGTACAGATTCAGTAGCTAATTTGGGCGTATCAAAGACCGTGGGGGAAAACCTGGTGCTAACTGGCGCACAAGCACGGCAGCTAAAAATGGGCGTTTCCAACGTTCATGTCTGCTTGTGCGAAGTATTGATAGAATAATGGTGTCTTTATAAAGAGATTTACTCCCCTCTAAACATTGAAATGGTATGTTATTGGTATGCTGTAGCCTATACAAACAAGACGCCCGGTGGTACTTCTTACTTGCTAACAAAAGGTTAGTTCCAACCAAAGGCGTTTAGAGTGTTGTAGACAGGGAAGTACGCACATTGAAAGCAACTATTCTATAACTGCTTTCTAACATGAAACATTGAAAACAGCCATAAAAAATATTCTGCTAAGTCCACTCTTCAAAATAATAATGTTGCAACGTTACATAAGCAAGAGCAGGACAGATATAAGCAAGGGAAACTATGCTTTCATGCTCTGCCCAAAATCCAGGACCTGTACCTTAATTCACCTGAGAAGATCCATTATTTGTCAGCACACTGATACGTAGCTCCACACATTTCCAACATTGTGGCCAAGGGACAGTATGAAGAATTTAACATTATGTGGTTACTCTCTCTCTCTACCTATATATCTCTTTCTGTCCAGCTGGATATCCGGTGCGTTATGCTTATTATGACTATGGCATGGGGAGAGGACCAATTTTTCTGGACGATGTGGACTGCTCTGGGGATGAAGAGAGGCTGATTGATTGTGAACACAATGGAATTTCTGTTCATGATTGTTATCATTATCAAGATGCAGGAGTCTACTGTTCTCCAAGAGGTATTATACCTAACAACGCACACTAGTTATGGCTTTCTTTGTTTTAAACTTAGGTTTGCCTTAGCTTTCTTGGGCTACTGGATTGTCGATTGAATTTATGTGTCTGTTGATTGTCTGAGTACACATACATCCATGACCACACACATAATACAGTGAACAACAATGAACAAAATTAACAAGGAGTAGGGGAAGAAGAGGTGAAAAATAAAAGGAAAAAGTAGCAAAAAACAAACAAAACAGACAGAACATAAAAAATATATACAGACAAGAAACTAAAACGCTGTTAATAGAAGGGGGGCGATAGATCTTTGTGGGCTGACACTAGGTCCAGATAAGGCGCTCTCTCCACTCGCCTAAAGAACGAATTTTCTTATGACGCAATTTATACATGTTAAGTTGTGGAGACATAACCCAAGAGATCTCAGTTCTGTCACATCATTGTAGAGCATTATCACCCTAGTGATATCTCTGTGCATGTCGCGTAAAGAGGCCTCAGGGACTACTTACAGAGGACAGATATAATATGTTGGCCGTAGACGAGACGCTTACTCCGCTTGCTCAAAGAATATGAACACATTCATCTTATAGCAAACGAGAAAGAGCTCAATGCCCAGAAAGCTTGTTGATAATAGATATTGTAGCCCAGTAGGGAAAGGTGCCAACAAGGCTCTTAGTTCCACGTACCTCACTTCCACAAATTGAGTGATTTTGATCCAGTATTCGCAAGCATATCCAAACTATATTACATGTGCTTATGCAATGATCACAAGTCTGCTGAATTAGTTACACGAGATGGTTTAGTGGACATACACTAGAGTGCGCAGCACGAGTAGTGTATGCACTAAACCGTAGAGTGGGTGTAGTGTGACCAATTTGTACCACAGGAATGCGCACTAAGACAACTTATTAGTATGCATGCCATGGTGTATGAGAGCTCATACACCACATGTGAGTGTATGGCTGAGTCAGCACACCATACACCATGGCATGCAACTAATGAGTTGTCTTAGTGCGCATACACTGCGTGCGGTGCCTTTGATTTCTAGGGCTTCTGTGGTACAAACCCATTTCCCCTCTTGAAAGCGGGATCTGGGCACACAACTACGCCATGCCAAGTGTGGATTTGGTACAATATACGTAGAAGTGAGCAGCTTTAATGGAAGTGAGGAAGTACAATTGAGCAAATGCAGATTTGGAAGTTAGACACCTGTTTTGAAGTGAGCATGGCCCCAATGGAATTCTGTATAATAACTCAGATTTATTTATGTGCTAATCATAACCATCAATTTCTTTGACTTTTATAGAAGATGTTGTTGGATTCAGTTCTACCACATACACCACCACTGAAACAAATGGAAGTGTTACAGTCTGTGTTACTGTTATAAACGCACCTTTTGGAGCTGTCCAACCATTCACTGTAACCGTACTGCGTAGACAAGGTATAGGCATTGTTTGGCGAGCGAATACGAGCATTCCAATTTTTTCGCGTGTGTTTTTGCACGTAATTGGAATCACATAAACATGTGGTTTGTCGGTCGATACACTGTTACATATGGAAAAATTCTGCATTCACATGTCAGGTTCGCTTCGTTTGCTAACAAGTACAAAACTCTAAGGCATAGCTAAAGTGTTTTTAAGGTTTGCAATAAGTAAGTGAAAATGAAAGAAACTTTTCATACCCATGCACATAACAGTAACAAAGAAAATTTTGCCAGTCAACTACTTGTGCCTGTCTTTTTGTATCGCATGCTTGCAATGAACGATCACTTGGCCAAGAGTGTTTTCACATGATGAGCAGGTGTGGTTTTAGCCATACTAGTAAAGCTCTAGGTCAACTCACTGAAGGTAAGAAGTTCACAAAACCTAGTGAAATTGGTTTCACGAATTATAATTATATATAGAGATAGGAGCCACTAAGGGGCATCAGCTTGGAAGGGGTGAGGTCACACTCCCAACAACTTTGTCTGCTAGATTGGGTTGGGGGGCAAATGCTGGATTTGCTTTTGTCTCTGACGGGGGTTGAAGCTTCAAAAGTCAAGAAGCAAGGCATTTTGTTGTTTTAGCGTGCAAATCACGTTATGCTCTAATGCCCAACATTACCCTTTTGATGTCGTGGTCATCCCCATAAATAAGCCGAAAATTGTGTATAAAGTACTAGCACCTGGTGTTACAACCTTCATAATTTTAATGGCAGGCCAATGAACAGGTACAAGTGGTTGTATATTATACCAATGACAAAGACGCATGGCTTAATTGAAAGGGCTTGATATTAAATGCAAGGGTAGTGGAAACTACACTTTTTACTTCAGGATATTCTATGATCGAGTGCATTCAAGAGCTATACTTTCAGCGGAGAAGTTTGGAAATGTGTCATGAGTACAAAATTGAGCAAGACGATAACTGTGAACTGGAGGGAGAACAGACATACTTTAATCTTCAGCTGAGTGTAACATCTACAACTCTAC